CATTAGGAAGATTGAGAACCACTGCTCTAGATGGTATTGTGGCAGATACACATTTTTTTAACTTTGTAATTAGATTTCTTCAATAGAAATGTGAATGTCCAACAAAGTTCATTATAAAGGAATTTCAATTTAACAATCTGTCTCCTTCTCTTTTCTCATAGTAAAACTTAACTCAGTTTCCTCAAGATACTTTACAATGATTAATACTGCAAAGATCTTGTCTTAAAGAAAGTATAAAATGTGGAAAGATCCAGATAGTGGCTTCCCCAATTATACACTCCAAAGCCATTGTAGCTTATGTATTTATATTGAATACATATGTTGTAATACATCATTCCAACATGCCTTGGGAATTGGATTTCCTTTGTACCTTATACTACTGTGTTTTATTTTGGGATGAAAATGCAGTATTTTAGTGTTAGAGCACTTCAATAATATTTGCCCAGCAACCTATTGATTGGCCTCAAGTTATATACATTACTGTGTATTTTTAATAATAAATTCCTTTAATTAATGACTAATAACCTACTTAAGTGTTTCCACAGGGTAAGCATTTACTCAGTATGTATCATTATCTTTTAAAAAATGTTTTAGTTTAAAAAATATTTCAGTTTAAGGTATTTATGTTCAAACAGGAAATAAATTATATATCTCCATTCTTTGACTTATCACAATGATACCATTCTCCTTTTTTTTTAGCTGAGCCATCCTGCTACCTATTGGCAGCTCAGCGGCTGCTCAGCTCGGGCTAGACTCGAACTGCTGTTGCTCAGAGCTCAAACTCTTGAGTGAGCTCTTAACCAACTGAGCCACCATTCTCCTTTTTTTAATTAAAGAGATTGACTAGACAGATTTTGCATCAGATCGCACCAGTAAGCACATAAGAACTCTTAGGACAAAGGAATATCCTAAAGACCTTAGTCTAGAAATCATGTGATTCTTGTATTCATTTGTTTCTAAATCAGACTTTTAAACCTCAAATTAATATTGATTAAAATACTAAATCATGTTAATAATTATATCTTTGTTATTCTATTTCAGGACTCAGAAATCTACTAAATAAACAAGAGCCTGGGACAGAGTTTAGTCAAGAACTTAGACAGCTCATTGGCCTTTTAAGCCCAAAGGTCTATCATGGAGTAGAAGAGCAGGTATTTAATTATAAAAATAATATGCATGATAATTTTACTAGCATTTCAGTAAACATTTTAGTTTCAAAATATTGGAGAGTGATAGCTTCTTGAATCTTTTACTTGCTCTGCCTCCCCCTTTTTTAAGTTATTTCCCCCAAGATCCAGAGCAGCCATAATTTGATGGGGAAAAGGGGTTATTTATGGACTGAATTTTAACCCCAGAGCCTTTATTTATTTATTTATTTATTTATTTATTTATTTATTTATTTATTTATTTATTTATTTATTTATTTACAGAGTTCTTCATATCTTGAGTCTTGGAATAAGTGAGGCCAGGATGTCAAACAAAGAGTTAAAGAGCATTAAATAAACAGAACTATGAAATACTTGTAAAGGGAGTCAGAAGTAAGATTACTCAGGGAGAATTTGGAGCTTACCAGACTATGTCTTGAATACATTCTAGATATTGCCCAAGGGAGCCTAATGTACCTCCTTTGGGAGGTCGGGTTTAATATTCTTAGGCCTTCCCTGTTTTTGGCCTATGAAAATGATGCCTCCTGCCCAACTTATTAGAGATGGAGATTAATATTTGCCCAGGCCTGATATTTTAAAAAGTAAACTTCTTAAAAAGCCTTTCTTAGAAATGTCTCTATATAATTCTGGCATTTATTTTCAGAAACTACATCAAGCAGCTTGCTTGATTCAAGCTTATTGGAAGGGTTTCCAAACTAGAAAGAGATTAAAGAAGCTTCCATCTGCTGTCATTACTTTGCAGAGGAGTTTCAGGTAAAATATTTTGGTGAGAGGAATGATGATCTGAGAGGGCTATATATATCTTACTAGAGTACAGCTGAGTGAAAATTTAGGGATTTTTTTTTCAATTTTCTAATCTGTTTCTTTTATTCTTACTTTCATTCTTGTTCTATATATTTTTGAGTACCAGCACTCCAGTAACCAGATAGATGCAGTTTCAAAGCAAGGACATATTGTAAGACAGGAATCTAATGTAAGAAACACACAATCCTATTCATTTAATAAGACTTTTTTTGTGGGCCAAGCCTACAGAGGGAGCCAGTGATAGTCTATTACCTTCTTAAACCCTTAAAATAAAAAAATGCTATAATTGTTCATATGTAATTATAGCAAAAACATGTACGTGTATTTAAGTATGTTAACCTGATTTTCCTCAGTAAACACTGCATGCAGATATGACATAGCTTGTCATTTAAGTCTATTTCAATTAGACTAAAAATGAAATACTGAATACACGGCCCAGTTTTGATATGACTAAGCCATCCAGATTTTTAGAGGCAATGAAAACAACACACACACACACACACACACACACAAACACACACACACACACACACACAAATGATTTAGCTCCTAGGTCATTTATGATAAAGTAGAGCCATCTCAGAGGCGATTTCTCATGCAGCGTAACTAACTGAAAGCTAAATTTTAATTTACTAAAGTGAAACTTGCACGTTCCAGAAGTCAATTTTTTTTTCAAGAAAACTGAAACTATTCTTTTAGTAACTGCAGCTGCATTTCTCAGTTTTAAAAATATTTTAAAATAGTATACTAAAATTTAGCTTTCAGTTAGACTACATGAGAATCATCTCTGAGATGGCTCTACTTTATCATAAATGACCTAGGAGCTAAGTTCTGTGTCTGTGTGTATATGTGTGCATGTATGTTCTTTCCATTGCCTGTAAGAATCTGGATGGGTTAGTGGCAGGTATTGAATCCACTGGCTAACTATATTCCTTAGTAGACATTCTTTTTGATGAAAATTTCCTTCAGAGAAGACTTAAACATAGGTTATTAATATTATTGGGCATGAGTTTTGTTGGTAGAAAACAAAGCATTAATATTTTAAACATATTTGAAATCCCGAATATATACCAGAGATTATGCTAGGTATTGGGAGAGTTAAACAGAATTTGAGTTTGTAAGCCCACTTCAGCAACTTATGGGCTGAATGATCTTGGATAACTTGTCCCACCTTTCTCAGCCTCAAATTTCCCATCTATAAAATGGGAATAATTGTCTATGTACCTTATATGATTAGAATGATACAAAGTTTTGTTTAGTATATTGCCTGGCACTTAGAAAACGGTAGGGGGAAAATGCATATTGCACATTTTTTGCCTTGAAGATTTGCAAATCTAGTTAGACAAACAGATCTGTTAAATAGTATTCATGAGAGGCAAGTATAATCCATCCCAGCATTGCTCAAAGTTTGTCTATCCTAAAAGCTCTTTCATAAAAAAAAAGTAAAAAAAGGATTTCTTTGGTCAAATAAATTTGGGAAATGATAAATGCTTTGAGTCACAATGTATATTCTTCTGTTCAGGTATCTGAGATGTTCTCGCCTTTTCTTCTGTGTGAACTCAGAGTAATTTATTACTTATGGATTCTACCTGCTATCATTCTCAGCTGTTACCCCCTTACATTTAAAGTACCCCTATTCTGTGGATTCAGACCTTTAATGTTTAGTCTCACAATAGTTGCCAAATTTGCCAGTTTACTTTCTTTTGCATTATTAAAATATTTATTTAAAAGTATCCCAGGATTACAGATTTTGTCCACTTAGAAGTATGTCTATGGAATCTAATTACTACTACACTATTTTAAAATAGAAAATCCATTGTTTTATGTAACAAAACCTGATTAGTTATAAATACTTCCATTAAAAGAGCTTTTATGCCAAAATTATTTAAATCTCACATTATAATGAGTTTGTTTCCTTTCCAGTATTTTGAGTTTGAAATTTTAGGAAAGACTGAAGTATAGTTTTAACCTTTGGGTTCTATTTAATTTCAAGCTTGCTCCAGGCTTCAGTACCTTTCCTCTTTTATTTGTTGCAACAGTTTATGCAAATTACTCTTGCTTCCTTTATAGCTGGGCTTTCTGCAAAGGTTATTTCTATCTCTTTGTGGTCAGGTCATGATCTTATTGTAATTTCCCCCTCCCATTTTTTGGAGGGGTGGGACAGCCCACCACTCAAAATTACCGGCCCAGATTCATCAGAGCTCTAGATTCAGCAAGAGGCATTCATTCACAGTTACACCCTTGCTAAAGCACTTTCTTGGAGGTTTCTTTTTTATTTAATCATTTTTCATGGTCAAAACTATTTTCTGTTAAATATTATACTATTCCTCAGCAGTGTTTTCTGTAGCAGCTAATAGCTGCTCCAGTTACCTTCATGAAACTTTACAATTTACCTACCTCCATCATGGTGCCGATATTTAGGTGTTTTAGTTATACTTATTTAACTTTGTAGGGGAAGAAAACATTTTTTTTCCTATACCCATGTTAGGTTCATTGGCTAGGACCCTGAAAATTAGACTTAACAACAACAACAAAACAAAACATGGACAAGAGAAAACTGTTTATTTACTTGTGCAATGCACATCACGTAGAAGAAACCTCACATGACGAGTAACTCAAAGGTGGGAGGTTAGAACTTGGGCTTAATAGAGATTTTAACAAAGAATAATAAATTTGGAAAGAAGTGACAGGTGCAAAGAAAGGAGTTCTAGGCTTCCAAGGGCAGCAAACTGTGGGAAGGGAAATACATTGGGAAAACTAATGGAAGATATGGATTATTTGTGCAGGTCCATCTTGGCACCAACTTTCCATCTTCTTCATGGCCATAAAACTTCTTTGGGAGGAAGGATTTATGGTACTCCTCATTTCCCAGACCTTTCTGCTTTTTATCTGATAAGGGAAGCTCTGTGGAGGCGGCTTTCTGCATTTGTTGATTCTCATTTGCCTCCAGCCCAAAATAATCTTTATATCAATATTCTGCTACCCTTCAACTTCCCCTTTAAACTGAGCTCCTTAAGGGCAGAACTGTCTCGCTTCTATGCTACCAAGCGGGCAGCAATCACTCAGACAAATGTTTGTTGAGTTAACAAGCAGAGACCATCATCTACTTTGCCCATCAACTCATATGGGACTCTCCACGGGGAGTCCCAAGTTCATACTTATTATTCTACAACAGAGGAAGGAATTCCTGGAGAATTCCTGATGTCAGCAGATAGTTTTGTCAACTCCTTCTTCGATGGTAAAGATTCATGTTAGTTAAATGTAAATCATTGATGTACTTATATAAATTAATTTGAAAATGTGATCTCTGATCAGTCATTTTCTTTTCAGAAGTGCATTACAAATGCAAGATGTTTAAATGCCTACTCTTTCTTACAAAGAAACCGGTTAAATTAATAATCTTTTAATTTTTGAGTGATGAGTGTTATAGACACTACTACCCACAGAATATCTATAATAGAATGTTTCTAAGGTGGGGGAAGCATGCAAAATCACATTAATTCCTAATAAATGTTTTCAAACCTGACATTAAAGCACATGAATTCAGAAACATGCATATTTACAATTTATAGTTATTTTAATTACTGAACCTCACTTTTCTATTGTCTTCCTGTTTTATATTTTACTTCTACCTGCATGCTCCATAGTTGTTTCAGTTTTACCACATTTCATAGCCTGTATGCCTAAACTATTTCTCAAATCCTGTTTTCTGACAGCTTAAATGTCCTACCAATGCAGTTTTAATGATTACTGTTTCTCATACTAACAGTATATTAAAAATATTGGTAATGCACTATTGATCAATAATGCAATGATCTATAATCAATTAGAGGTTAGAAACAGGAGTGGTTTTCGTTTTGCTGTTAATCAGTTTGAAAGATTCTGTTTAGGGCCTGTTCTCTTTTACCCTCTATAAGTAGGTGAAGGGCAAAGCATTCTTATCTATATGTGACAGAACCCAGAAGATTTGCAGAGGAGTTCCCTAGGAGAGGCAAGTTTCCTTCAGTCACTCTTTGGGAAGGGAAAGGCTCTTACTTGATCTCTTACTCTAAAGGAAGTGTAAGAGATACTTTGAAACTGTTCATCTTGGTCTACATTCTCTCTAGAACTCCTCTTTTTGGCACACACATACTTGAGGTCATCTCTACCTTTGATAGTAGGCGTAAGAAAGACATTTTGAAACAAATTCTCAACTTTGGCCTAAGTGTAAAACCAGAGAAAACATAAATTATAATTGATAGCAGTTAAGAAATTGCAAGAAAACAAAACAACATACACACAAAATGTTATCAAAATTATTTTGTGAGTTTTTTTCTCTACTTTAAAACACTTCCTTTTAAAGTTGTCTTGCTCCTGATTATTTTTGGCTTTTTAAAAGAAATTGAGTTAAAAACCATTATAACCGTCTGTATACCATTATGAAGTTCAAGTTCCCGTTAATACTACAAAGATATAGCCAAGGTACCACATTTGTTGGCAGTTAAATTATAAGAACCTAAGAGAAAGCAAATGCTCTTGAGTGAGTTGCATGCAAATTAAGTCTATAGAGATAAAATAAATAATGTATGCTGCTTCTGTTTTCTTATCCTCTTTGGTTTCTTTTTCTGTGGGTATCTGAAGGCATTTTGGGTATATTTACTAGAGACTGATACTTGTGATCTTACATATGATGTAGGAAGCAATCAAAACTGGGTAGAAATGGCTAACAAGAAATTTTGGTGAGTAACAGAATACAGAAATGCTAATTAAATACAATTTTTGTGGTCACATGAAAATTATCATAATCAGTTGTAAAATAACATTTGTTAATAATTGAGAAATAGGTAAGCATATGAAGAAAATTGAAATCATCATAAACACACCATGCAGTAAAAATCCCGTTGAAATTTTTGTTTTTAATCATTTATTTTTGTATACAAGTAAATATATATTTTTTAACAATTTGGGTTTCTTCTGTATCCTGATTTTATTTTCACTTGACATTAATTAGATTGTTGGCATATTCTCTTGTTACTAAATATTCTTTGAAATTTTTACTTTTCATAGTATCCATCCAGTGAATGAGCCAGTCTTTATTTATCCAGTTCACTATTGTGGAACATATGGTTGGTTTTCAACTTGTTACTGTTGTAATGCTATGGAGAACATCCTTGAACATAAATCTTTACATACATATCAGATTTTTTCATTAAGAAAATTATTTGAAGTGGAATTAATTGGTTAAAATTTTTAAGGAATTTTATATGTATTTTAAATATTTCTCCAGAAAGTTGCATAGCAGCTTTCTATGAAAATTTATTTCATCAGACTCTAACAACACTAGGAATTTTCTTAAAAACATCTTTTTTTTCTGTCTCTACTTATATGATTAGCAAATACAAGCATTTTCCATATACTTTTGGAGTGGACATATGATTTATGAAAATTGTGTGTAAGGTACTTATTGTTTTCATCACAGATCTAAACGAGCAAAGATATTACTGAAGCTAAATAGGCAGAAGGAAGAAGAGAACCACAGATTACAACTGAAACTTCAAAGACAGAGAGCCATGAGACTTTCCCGAGAATTACGGCTGAGTATGCTCGAAATAGTTCATCCAGGTAGGTGGCAGTATCAATTTTATAAGTGAAAGAAAGACTGTTTAGGATATCTTTTAATAAACCAAATTTTTCTGATTAATGCCTATTAGCCTATGATGAGCAATCTCTGCACTAATTTTTCTATTCTAATCTTTCAGATAAATTAGTAAAACATACAAATTTATTTTTAAAGGTAGCTGTCAGTGACATAAAGAATCTCTTGAACTGAAGTAAGGATGTTTGAGTATTACGATTCTGCCATCAGAACTTTATTCATACCCCAATATAAACCTTTGACACCTTCTTGCCACCTTTGACACACTAAGCTGAAATTATATTAAAGTGTAGTCTGAGAGATCTGACTGGTTTCAAAGTTATTTTTTCATTCTCCTTCCCCACCTACTACTCATTTATGTCCTTCAGTAGCCTCTTATTTCTCTTCTTTTCCATAAATATAGATATTTCCCAGGGCTCCATCTTCATCCCATTTATTCTCATGTTGCTCTTCCTGAGGTATCCCATCCATACCTATAGCTTCAGCTACTGAGTGTTGAGCACTATGAAACTTGTCTGTATCCTCACCCACTCTTCTAAGCTCTAGCCCAACAGAGCTTTCTATAAAGTGAAATGTTTTGTATCTCTACTGTCCAAAACATAGCCACTGGCTAGAGGTGGCTATCGAGTACTTAAAATGTGGCACTCGAGAATCTTAATTTTTTATTTTACTTTATTTAAATTTAAGTAGCCATTTGTGGCTAGTGTCTCCTATAGTGGACAACATAGCTCTATAGCCAGCTGTCTATTGGATAGCATTACTTAGCAATCCACAAGCGTCCCAAAATCTAATCATTATCTCTTCCCTCTAATATTCCCCATCTCAGGTAATTGACCAAAAGTCTACTCAGTTTCTCATCTGTGAGACATTCTAGAGTTCGTTCCCTCTCTTACCTCCACAACTAGTCAGTCATTAAATCCTATTAATTTTTTTGTACTCTCTGAAATATATCCCTTTTTATTATTACTTCCTACTGCCTTATTCTATCAGTTAGCTACTATGAACCCTGAGCTATATGCTGACCAACTCCAAGAAAGTAAAAAGAAAATCATCGATAGAACCAAATGAATTACTGAAGAGAACTTTGGAAGCACACAGAGTAAATAACATACATATGTTTTGCCCTTTCCCTTTGGTGATACTAAATGATTTTCTAACCATGTACTTGTGATTCTTTTTCCTAAATGTTTTTGCTGTTGGATTTTCAGCCCTTTTCTCATTCCTGTGACATAAAACATGAGTCTTTTCTCTTAAGAAGCTGCATAGTCTGAGAAAGGTTTTAAAGCTCTGTCTCTAAAATATTAGAACTATTGTACAATAATAGAATTGGGAAAACCAGTGAACAGTATTGAAAACAAAATAAAAGGAGTACAAGGTTGTTGTTACTATCATTGTCCTGATTCCAGAATTTGAGAATGCATAGAGGTGAGTAGGTTGTAATAGTGTCTGTCATCTTTTTAGGTCAGGTGGAAAAACATAATCGGGAAATAGAAGAGAAATCAGCATTGATTATCCAGAAACATTGGAGAGGGTACAGGGAAAGGAAAAATTTTCGCCAACAGAGGCCATCACTCACGGAGTATAAAGCAGCTGTCACACTTCAGAGAGCAGTGAGTCTGATGTAGTAAAAAGAGTACTGGATTAGGAGGCAAAAACATGGGTTCAAACCTGACTTTACTATTTACCTGCTGTAAAATCTTGGTCAAGTCACTTAGCTTTCCTGAGCCTAAGTTTTTTCCTCTATAAAATAACCTTCTTGGGCCGGCCGAGTGGCTCAGTTGGCTAAGAGCTCACTCAAGAGTGCGAGCTCTGAGCAACAGTGATTCGAGTCCCGGCTCGAGCTGAGCTGCCAACAGGTGGCATGATGGCTCAGCTTAAAAAAAAAAATAAAGAACCATCAAGGCACATACCTTACACTCAGTCCTTAGTACTTTCATAGACCCTTGTACAGATTTACTATATTGAAATGTTAATTTTTTTTCTTTCTTACTTGGGCTGTGAGCATCTTAAGGATAAGGAATTCTTATTATTGTCAGCTCTCAGCACATGCTTGATGTATGAATGGATGTCTACCTTTTCTACTGAGTTGTTATTTGGATTAGATGACCAAATTTATGGGAAAGTGTTTTGTACAGTATAAAGTCCTATGCAAGTACAGAGCATTATATTGATGTTTTTAATGCACAGATAAATGTATTAAGTATAATTATATTATTACAATTTTTGAATTATAGAATGGTATTCTTAAATAATAATTTTCCTGGGATTTATCTGGAGCATAGGCACAACACAGGCTATTTCTTTCATTTAATGACTAGCTTATCTAATATCTGGTTATTCACTTATACTTGGTTAACTTTCATATTAGTTTTTCAGGTCCTATAGCATTTAGTTTTACAATCCCTTATTGTTGAATGTTAGGTTAATTTTAGTTTTCCATAGTGGTAGATTTTGAACGCTCTTTGTTGAATTATATGATTAAACTTTTACGAGGAATTTTTTAAACCATTAAAAAAAAAGAGTAGATAAGTTCTAGGAAAATAGGAAGAGATGTCTGGTGTCTCTTTTCTCAGGCTTTCCTGGGGATCTGAGGCTATATGTGCATCAAACAGTCCTGTACCACCACTGAGTCACACCCACACCTGATATTTACCTTCTGCTAAATAAGGCCATTTAAAGATTAACCCATGGATGTCAGTGTTGGAGACACTTCCTTTAGATGAACCCTTGGGTCTTTTCTAATACTTTTACCTCGTGGCTACCTCCTTTTTATACTCTTCCCTGTCAGAGAATCAACTGGGTCCTTATTAAGCTGACTCACTACATTGCCTGATTTAGATAAGTCCAGTACTTTGTAAAAGGGTCCTCTACTCTAAAGTGAAATACCTGTTTGTCCACCATTCCTTTGAGAGAGAAGCAGGGGTCATTATACAATATCTGAGGACTATGAAAGCGAAGTTGTTTGGGCTTTCATACTTTCCTTTGACATAAGAGGAAAAAAAATAATCACATTTGCCTCATATCTTACCCACCCAAAGAGTAGAATATGGGTCTCTGTTGAAGTAAGATGAAAAAGGTGTGGGTCAAGATCATATTTATAGTCTTTGCAGCTCGCTATTAAAAATGACAGTGAAGTCAAAGCAAAGCTAGATAAAAATAGAAAAGAAGAGGATTACTTTCAGAGAAGGAAAAGAGAAAAGAAAATTATGGAGTGTAGACATGGAAGGAAAAAGGAAAGTAGTAGAGAAAATCAGAACAAGGTAATGATCTTTAAAGGGCACATTTGCCACATTTTTGAAGCACCCATTTCTAAGACATATACTTAACACATTGTGGACCGGTGATGCAGATTTGCGTCTATACATTTAAATGCCCCGTCCTCAATGTGTTAATTGGACTTGCACTGTCCCAGTTTGGTAGCCACTAAGCACATGAGGCTACTGAGTATTTACATGTAGCTAGTCCAAATTGAGATATGTTATAAATGTAAAATACCTACCAGATTTTGAAGACAGTATGGAAAAAAGTGTAAAACACCTCATTAATAATTTTTTGTATTGATTTAATATTGAAATGGTAACATTTTACATATATTATGTTTATATTATTCTGTATAAGAAAAAATTAATTTTACCTGTTTCTTTTTACTTTTTTAATGTGCCTACTAGAAAATTTAATATTACATATGTGACTTGCACTATATTTCTATTAACACTGCACTTGATAAGAAAAAAAAGAAATCATCAGTTGCACAGAAAAAAGTAGGATTATCATTTCACTGAACTCCTCCCTCAGGAGGAACTGGCTATTAATTCATATCCTTTGCAGAGAAAGGCTAGAACTCTTGTTTACCTCCTGTTCCTCCCTTACTATGTGTAAAAGCAGAGGCATTGTTACTCAGGTAGCTAAAAATTGAAGAAACTCTATGTAAATTTGCTAATTTAAAATTACACATCTTATGTAGACAAGTTGGAGTTCTCTGTTGTGGTATAGTGTTGGAATTAAATTTGAAGAGTTAGCTGTCTTTTCCCTTTTAATGCTCCAGGATTTTCTTTTCTTGCTTTCTCACCTCTTGAAAAGCTTAGAAGGAAGGTGATGGTTGCTGGTGACTGGTCTCTAGAGCCAGAATGATGGCTAATTCTTGCTACTCGATTATAGCAGAAAAGTATATAGTGTTATTACATGTATCCATCCAGACCAACTACAAAAGCACTTAGTGAAACAAATCATTGGCAGTTGAGAAAATAAATAAACATTGGGAGGTAAGTACAATTTAAGAGAATCCTGAAATGACAAAGAATTAGGAAAAGAGACAGAAATGTCAAGATGGGCTTTTCTGATCTAAGGGCAGAGATGCCTCTGTTTTGGAACCTTTACTCTGAAGTTCCCAGCATAGCATCATAAGCCTAGGGTTGTACTAAAAGCAGGATGTTGAGGAAAGATAGAAGGAGAAGCAAAGAAGAAAATCAAGAAAAGGGAAGAATAAAAGGAAAGGAGAGGATCTCTCAACATGAAGATGCAAATATGATTGAAGGCTCGAATACCATACTGAAAACACAGAGGTATTAGGGAAATTTTATATACTGACTGTGAAGACCTTCAGCCCTCTTTTTCATCTCAGCTGCTGTCAGCCAAGCTTATATCTTGCAAGCAATAGATTGAATGCATTTTCTTTGGAAAATCTGAACAGCCAAAGCAAAAAGTCATAAATATACTCACAATGAGGTAACACAACTAAACAACCAGTTCAGTAGCCCTGTACTGAAATACATAGTAGATAAACCCTACGCACCAACCTGCTCAGTTTCTAAATAGCTTTTATTTATTTATTTATTTTTATTTTTTATTAGATTCAGGTGTACAAAACAATGTAATAGACATTTATACCCCTCACAAAGTGATAACCCCGCTCCCCCAATCTTCTACCCCTCTGACATTGTATATAGCTGTTACAATTCCATTCACTCTATTCCCTATGCTGTACTCCACATCCTGTGGACTATACATTTATTAAATTATAGTTGACATTCATTATTCTTCAACTTTAGCTTCAGGTGTACACTGCAGTGGTCAGGCACCTACATAGCTTTTTACGAGGTCTGACAATTATGTTCGCAAATTCATCCTAGAAAAAGTGCTACATACCTCATTGCTGAATATCATTATGGTCACCTTCAAAGTACTCCCCTTGGGAAGCTATGCACTGGTGCCAGCGCCTAGTTCACCCTTCAAAGCAATTTTGGAACTCTTTTTCTGGAATGGCCATCAGAGCTGTCATCGCATTACCCTTGATGTCCTGAATGTCATCAAAATGTCTTCCTTTCAATATTTCCTTTATCTTTAGGTAAAGAAAGAGATCACTGGGGGCCAGATCAGGTGAGTAAGGAGGGTGTTCCAATACAGTTATTTGTTTACTGGCTGAAAACTCCCTCACAGACAGTGCCGAGTGAGCTGGTGCATTGTCGTGATGCAAGAGCCATAAGTTGTTGGTGAAAAGTTCAGGTCATCCAACTTTTTCACGCAGCCTTTTCAGCACTTCCAAATAGTAAACTCAGTTAACTGTCTGTCCAGTTGGTACAAATTCATAATGAATACTCCCTCTGATAGCAAAAAAGGTTAGCAACATGACTGCAACAAGTTCACAAACTTACTTGTCCGACCTTGTAGTGCATACTCTTAAATATCAGATGAAAGTATCACAGGACATCTGAGGAAAGCTAAGGCTAAAATAGAGTGAAAATACTTGGTAGAAGTAGAGATATTGCAGGAGTAAGAAAACCTTTAAAAATCTAGATTTCCTCAGAGAGCTAAGCGAAACTAATACATGAAACAAAACCAAGATGGTTATGAGAACAAATAAAATAAAATTTGACAGGAAAAATTGAAGACATTATAAAAGGGCTAGGGATAAAGGTTTGGGAAATCTAGAAAGCAGGGCAAAAATAAAAGATAACCAGTCCAGGAGGTCAAACATCCAAACATTTGAAATAAAAAACAAAAAAAACTTAGGAGAGGAAATCAGATAATTCAGGATTTCCCAGAAATGAATCTCATGAGTGTTAGATTACAAGGACTGACTAAATGGTTAATACAATGACAGAAACATACCCACATTTACGACATGTGATCAAACAATGTGATGTTTAAATTTTAAAAAATGTATTACAGTAAAAGACACATCACCATTAATCTCCCTCAAAATAGTCCCTCTGCTTCAAACACACTTATACCATCATTCTTGCCACTTTCTGAAGCAGTTCTGGAAGTCCTCTTTCATGAGTGTCTTTAGTTGCGCTGTTGTGTTGTGGCTGTCTTGATGTCCTGAATTATTTTGACTTTGGGGAAGAGCCAGAAGTCTCACGGTGCCAGATTGGTGAATAAGGTATGTGAGGACACACTTTAATGTTTTTATTTGACAGAAATTGCTGTAACCAGAAGCAATGTGTGACACGGAGCGTTGTCATGATGTAAGTTGATTTATGGCACACTTGAAAACTCACCTTCTCTGAACCCTAGCTCACACCCGACTGACTGCACTGAACAAGTTGTAACTTGTCACACACAGTTACTAAGATTCAATGTGCTGCTTCCTTTATTGAAGATCCCTGCCTTTCTGTTGGATGGCACTCAGCAGCAGCATTCACTGTATTTTGTTTGTGTCCACAATGGAAAGGTTCTGTGTTACATCTTGCTTCTGGTATGGCAATTTCTGTCAAAAATATTATGGTGTGTCCTCATCCACCTGATTCACTGGATTTGGCACCGGATGACTTCTGGCTCTTCCCCCAAGTCAAAATGACCATGAAAGGTAAATGTTTTGAATCAATTCAGGACATCAAGGCAGCCACAACGGAGCAACTAAAGACACTTATGAAAGAGGACTTACAGAAAGTGACAAGAACTATGGGGTAAGTGTGTTTGAAGTGAGGGTGGGTATTTTGAGGGGCATTAATGGCGATGTGTCTTACTATAATAAATTTCTTTAAACATTCACTGTAGTTTTTGATCACAGCTCATATTTCACATTACGGGAAATACACTAGGAACAGAAGTACATTGCAGCAGTATCACTGGAAGCTAAAGGCAATGAAGTAAGGTTGTCACATGCTTGAGCGAAAATGATTTCCAACTAGAATTCTACACACCACCAAACCATCATTTAAAGGTAAAGAGACTAAAGACATTTTTATATATCACAAAGTCTCTAAAACAGAATAATCCAAGAAAGAAGACAACATAAAATCCACGAAACAAAGAAAGGATGAAAAGAAGTCATCAAGGTGATGGTGAATGAGAGCTCAGGGTGACAACTATGTACCAGTCAGAGAGAGCAATCAGTAGAGATTAGAGCAGGTCAGAAAGCTTCAGAAAATGTGTGTCCAACAAAATAAATTTGATAGAATGCCTGCTGTGTTTTGTTTTGTTTTGTTTTGTTTTAGCTGAGCCATCCTGCCAACTGTTGGCAGCTCAGCGGCTACTCAGCTCGGGCCGGGAATTGAACCGGTGACCCTGTTGCTCAGAGCTTGCATTCTTGAGTAAGCTATTAACCCACTGAGCCACTCGGCAGGCCCCTGATGTGTTTTAATGTATTGAAAATTAGGGCAGAGTCTGGGGTATATTATCAGTGGTAAGTACATAGAAAACTGAGCACAGGAAAAGAGATTAGTTTCAATGAAGGTAAAAACTGCAAGGAAGGAAGAGTGATCATCATATATACGTATACTACAAAGTCTGACAATTAAGTTTGTGAATTGGTTGCAACAATTTGCTAAGCTTTTTTGATATCAGAGGGATTATTCATTATGAATTTGTACAAACTGGACAAACAATCAAGTTTACTATTTGGAAGTGCTGAAAAGGCTGCATGAAAATGTTAGATGACCTGAACTTTTCACCAATTCATGGCTCTTGCACCATGACAATGCACCAGCTCACTTGGCACTGTCTGTGAGGGAGTTTTGAGCCAGTAAATAAATAACTGTATTGGAACACCCTCCTTACTCACCTGATCTGGCCTCCTTCTTTACCCGAAGAGAAAGAAAATACTGAAAGGAAGACATTTTGATGACATTCATGACATCAAGGGTAATACAAAAAGAGCTCTGATGGCCATTCCAGAAAAAGAGTTCCAAAATTATTTTGAAGGATGGACTAGGCTCTGGCATCAGTGCATAACTTCCTAACGGGAGTACTTCTGAGGTGACCATAGTGATATTCAGCAATGAGGTATGTAGCACTTTTTCTAGGATGAATTTGCGAACATAATTGTCAGATCTCATATATGGTTCAGAAATGAGTAGCCTTTATCTAGACATAATTATATAAACATGAACATTGATTTAACTGAAATTATATAATGTTTGGAGATATGGAAAGTATATGGGAGTGAAAGCAGTAAAAGAGAGCTAAATCCTTACCTTTCATACAAGAAAGTTAATGGATAATACCTATATCTGAAAAAACTCAGAAAAGTAGATGTAGATAAACATCAAAAGAAAAACCTGAAAGAGTTAAAGTTGCCTTGTTGGGGAGGGGACAGGATAAGTGGGCAGAGAATGATAGATTTTTGTTAATTCGTAAAAAACTTACACTTTAAACAATAGAATTACATTACCAAACTTTTTCTGTAAAGCATTAAACAGTAAAATACTTTAGGCTTTGCAGGCCATGCAGTCTATTGCAGCTATTCAGTTCTACATTTGTAGCACAAAGGAAGCTGTAGACAGTACTTAAACAAATAATCGTGACTGTGTTTCAATAAAACGTTATTTGTAGACACTAGATTTTGAATTTCGTATCATTTTCATGTGTCACAAAATATTATTTTCCTTTTGAACTTTGTAACCATATTAAGTGTAAAAAAAATTCTTAATTCTTAGGCCATTCAAAAACAGGCAGTGGGCTGGATTTGGCCTGTGGGCCATAATTTGCCAACCCTTGTCTTAAACAGTGTGAACATGTAACTGATGAAAATAAAAACTACATGATAACCACTACACTGTGGAAACTAATTGGGTGGTGAACATACAATGCAATATATAGATGATGTATTATAGAATTGTGCACTTGAAACCTGTATAATTTTATTAACGAGTGTCACCCCAATAAATTTAATTTTCAAAAAAGAAAAACTACAAAGAAGGGAGAAGAGTGGAAAAAAATGGGCAGAATAATTTCAAATTTGTCTCCAAATACTGCATGTTACAAGATTTCCTGTTTTACCAGGAGTCCATTCTGAAAGACATGAGAAAGAACACTCTTTACCAACCTTTTTCTTATATACTGTCTCTTTGATCTTTACCATCCTGTAAGCTAAGTAGAATTAGGGTCCCTGTTTTCTGTAGACATAGAACCTGTCCTGTAGAGATAAGTTACTTGCTCAAAAATCATATAGTTTATAAGGGTCTAGATTTGATACTAGAACCAAATGCTTATTTCCTATTTTTCCTCTTTATTGCTTACTGTACAAATAACATGAGTATATTCCTGTAAAATATTAAAACACTACAGAAGAATATAATTAAAATGTCATTCATTGTCCTCCCTCACCCCTGTCACAATCCCATCCCTTTCCCTATACACACTCAAGAGTTGACAGTTATTACAGTATTGTCACTACCATATGTTGTAGGAAGAAAATAGCTCTATTGTCAGGGAAAAGAAATTCACAAATCTTTTTTTTTTTTCCCCAGACTCTTAAATTCCTAGAAAAGTGCCGTAAGAAAAAGAAACTATTTGCTCCTTGGCAAGGACTCAGAGAACTCACTGATGCACGCAGAGTTGAACTTAAGCAACAAGTGGATGACTATGTCATAAGACATCCAGTATGTAGCCTTCTATGCCATGATATCAGATATCAGTGTTACATTATTACAGTGCATGATATTCAAAGCAGTGTCTCAGATGTGTATGTGCATATATTGTTGATATAAGGTAATGTAGCTGTTTTACCATAGAGTTAATGGATTTGGAGTCTTATAATTTCATGGGCATAGAGATGTAGTCACTAGTAAAGGAGACTTTGCTTCAAGTCAGTTATTTTCCATACTGCAGCAGCAAAACTGTCTCCACATCCTCACCAACATTTTGTTATTTTCATGTCCTAATGGGTGAAGTTGTGTTGTGATTTGGTTTTGCATTTCCCTAGTGATAAGTAATTTTGAACATCTTTTCCTGTGTTTATTGGCCATTTGTGTATCCTTTTTGGAGAAATGTCTATTCAGGTCTTTGCCCATTTTTTAATCAGGTTTTTTTGTTGCTGAGTTTTAAGAGTTCTCTATATATTTTAGATATTATTCCCTTATTAGATACATGATTTACAAATATTTGTGGGTAGCGTCCTTTGATGCACAAAAGTCTTTTTATTTTGATGAAGTCCGGTTTGTCTATTTTTTCTTTTGTTGCCTGTGCCTTCAGTGTCATATTCAAGAAATCATTGCCAAATCCAATGTCATAAAGTTTTTCCTTATCTTCTAAAAGTTTTATAGTTTTAGCCCTTACATTTAGGTCTTTGATGTCCATTTCTGGTAATGTACTATGCGTGATTCTGATGCATACTCCTGTTTAAAAAAGTGCTACTCTAGCCATACTCTAATGCAGCTGTTTAAAATTTCATGGCTAAAAAGTAAGGTGTTAGCTGGAACAGGACTGCATCCAAGATCCAGGAACCGGAATATTTGAGAAAGCTGTGATGTCAGAAGCTTTGTCAGCTTCTAAGTTAAGGTTTCTTTTTTCTCCAAACTAATTATTTGGTTGTCGGAAAAGTCATGTCGCGTTTTTGCAACGAAAAACAAAACAAATACGTCATGACTTTTCCGACAACCCAATAGTTAAGTTCCCTTTAAAGTGGCTGACTAGTTAAAAGAACACAGCCCTTTGGCTGATTTTGTGCCTTGTTCTATGAAATCAAAAACAGTAATAATATTATGGCTTAGGTAAGTTTGGGAGGATAAATAAGATACGAGTAAGTAAGATAGTCTCAACAGGTAGGGTCCAGCACAAAAGGGTTGGCCTTTTTACTTTTCTTCCAGGACAATATCTTTTATAGTTTTCACTATGATTTCTCAGTCTTATCTCTTCTCCCAAAATACCACACTGTGTGAGGAAGTGAGGTATGGGAGTATACCAAAAAGAAATTTCTCTACCTTCATTTTCATTTAAAGCTTGCTTTTAAGAGGCTATTAATGCATTCACAAGAGTACAAGTAGACATCAATCATAACATTCAATTGATAAGATGAGATACAGCTAAGCATTCTGGAACCTCTGCTAAGTGGTTAGGTGCAACATACTTTGATATACAGAGGGTGCCAAAAAAATGTATACACATTTTTAAGAAAGGAAAAAACTGTATTAAAATTGTAATAATATATATTGATAACAAAAGATGAATACAAGTTATGTGTATACACTTTTTTTTGCACCCCCAGTATATGTCCTTCCTGTGACAATTGTTTCTGCCCTCTGTTCCCAGAGCTCTCAGATGTCAGATGTGACCAGCAAGGAGCTCCATTCCCAAGCTCAAGAACAACTGCAACACTATTTCATGGGCAGGGCCCTAGAAGAGAGAGCCCAGCAGCACAGGGAGGCTCTGATGGCTCAGATCAGCACCAACATTGAACAGCTAATGAGTATGTGCTTATTGCATTTTTGTTTCCTAAGAGGAACAACCTGTACAAGATTTTGTGACATCCAAAATCTTTAGAAGAAAAACACCATTTAGTGGTCTAATAGCTCATCTCATCCTCAGAAATTTCTACATCTAGATCAGGGGTCAGCAAGCTGCGGCTCGCAAGCCACATGCAGCTCTTTGGGTACATTCCGTCTCAAAAGTTTGCCGACCCCTGGAAGAGCCAATCCTGTCCCTCACAACAATTTAAAAGTTATTCGGGAACCATAAATATATTTTTACATAATCACCATTATGTGAATAATATCCTTTAAAATTTTTATAAATGAAACTATGATGGTTTTATTTTCATTTTCAATTTTACTTCAGAGCCTGCGGCTGGTGAGCTGCAGTTTGTTGACCCCTGGTGGCTCTTCCGTCTCAAAAGTTCCCGACCCCTGATCTAGATCATACCAGCACACAATGTTTTCAAATGATCCAGAATCCCATAACCTCCTTCTTGACTACTTCCTCTAGCCTTGCTATCATACGTATCAATTCAGACAAAGTTATTAACTTTAAAGATGCTGAGTCTTACTAGTCAGATTATTTTATGTAGTCCCAAAAGCTGTCAATCATATTTTAGAAGTAGATGATGACAGTAGTTGCAGTGCGGTTTTTATAATTTTTAAATGAAGTGGTTTTACAAAAATTAATTCATCTGATCCTCACTGGTGTATTTAATGAGAACCCATCCAAGAAGCCACAGTGTTTCGGTCAGCCTCTGAAACACTGTATGTAGAGCAGAGAGGACCAGCGTCATCTATTTAATGCCATTACTTGCAAGTTTTGTATTTTTTAATCGATCGGTGGTTATAACTGTGCCTCTCATCTATAGGATGAGTTCCTTCTATTATATTTTAAAGGTTCCTGTTCTTTATATAAACCATCTTTAAAAACCTACATCTTTTTTTATTCTTTTAAACACAGCATCGGGAGGAGGGGGGTTACAGTTGCTGCCAGCTACAGCTTCAACTTGTGAATAGTCACATGCCATTTACACCTAGCAATGATAATAGATTCAGAGTTGGAACCCTGTCCCTGCCTGCTATTGCAGAGTTCCAACTCTGTAGTTTCCAAGTTGCTACTTGTTTGTACAGAACTCTTCTACTCACCTGTTTATTTTCTATTTACTACAGAAGCACCAAGTCTGAAGGAGGCAGAAGGGAAAGAGCCTGAGCTCTTCCTAAGTAGATCCAGGCCTGTGGCGGCCAAGGCCAAGCAGGCCCATCTCACCACTCTGAAGCATATACAAGCACCCTGGTGGAAGAAGCTCGGGGAAGAAGCAGGGGATGAGACTGATGTCCCAAAAGATGAGCTTAGTGTAGAATTAGGCACTTTATTCATTGGTGGAACCAAACCGCCTTAAGGAATTACCTTGAAACAAATCCTGTATTTCAGGAGATTGTTATTGGTTCTGTCTCTGGCATGCTAGTAGACTAGAACTATCCTAACTCATGGTTTTACAGAGGTTCCTCTCCAAACAAAACTACAGGCAGTAAGCAAAGAGTTATCTTCTACCTCTATCTCAATTCTGTTTTTTGTTTTTCCATACCTCCATCCCTGGTCACACACAGATTGGTGTGGCATGTATTGTGGAAGTAAATTCAGCACGACATTCCACTGCTTATATTAAATGTGATATTTCTTTTTTTGTTTCTGCTGTTTTCCAACTAAAGTATTTTCTAAATAAATATTTTCAACAATTGTTCTGAAAAACTTGCCAGAATTATCTGAACTTTTCACATTTATTAGAATTTCTATTTTTCTATTAATATAGGAAGTATGCTCTTGGCCTTTATTTAAAGGAAGGAAAAGAAATGGTCATCTAACTATTTTCAAATGGACATCTATTTTCTACATAACAGTGTTTGAACTCAATTTCTATCTTGTTATTTCTAAAAGAAACTACATTTAAAAAAATCTTCATGGGATTCAGAGCAAGAAAAATTTCTCCAGATAAAATTGCTTTTTTTTTTTTTCTATGAGAACTATATAACCCACTATTTCCCTTTTTGTCTCCTAGGACTTTCACAGTTGAATATGTTTCATTTCTGTTACAATTCTAGGTACCTATGTGATCATTTGGTTCCAACATAATTTCTGATTTTCCTACTTATCTTTGTGTTTTAATAGTAGAAATCACCACTATTTGTGTTTGTAACAATATAGAATTTAAGTTAAAATTAATTAATAACCATGGACTCCATAGTATAAGGAATCTGGAGTGTGCTTTCTATATAAATAATTGGAAATACCAGTATTTATGGATGGGAAGACCAAATAGTATAATGTCCAGTACTCTAAAGTTGAGTTTAGTAAATTCTAGTCAAAATCCTAATGTAATTTCTATTTAAATTGGAAAACAAATGTATAAAATTCATCTGTAAGAATAAGCAAATGAGAGTTCTGGTTTCATTTAGAATGTAGAAAGCTACATGAGACTGTCAATCCTACCTTAACAAAAAGAAATGCCAGGTAATCTACATGAATAATTTTTCTTGAGCCTATCAGATATTTGAAGCCTCAAGACACCCAAGTAAATTGAGATAGGACTCAATATCTGTGAAATGAACTATTTCATCTTTAGTAGAGCATAGGACATAAAAGTTAGCTGCATAAGAAGTCAACTAAAATTTTAACAAATTCTTAAAGGCCAAGTGTAAGGTAGCGTGTCAGTTTAGCATATCTAGGAACCAAAGACAGGAGAATTTAGACCTCTACCAAATAAAAGAAAGTTTGGGAGCAGGGCAGGATGCACTGAAGAGATGCACTTAGTGAAGTGATAGGCTGCTACTGAGTGACATGCCCAAAGCCCCACCCACTTTCCGAAACCATCCTTTAAAAGCCTTACAGTTGCTAGAGCAGTGGCAGCAAGCCCTCTTAGCTCCAAGGCTCACACAAAATTCCAATGCATGTATGGAAGGAATAGAAACAAAGCCTACCTGTCCCTGGGGGCATGATAAGAAACACTCTAGCCCCAGACACAAATAGAGATTCAGTGTTGCTAAGGGAGGGACAGAAACTCTCCACTCCTGGGAGAGGGTCAGGAAATCATCTTGGGCCCAGAAATCCTACACTAAGTAAAGCAGAAATCTGCTAATAATGGGTCTTTCTGCTAAAGACCAACCGCAGATATGAGGCAGTTTGACTGCCCTGGGGTAGACGGGTGGGAACCCTGAGAAAGCCCCACCCCAATCCTAGGAAGAAGAGACCTGGCCTAAAATTTAGGCTGAATCACACGTCGCAATGACTAGCCTAGCACCAGGTAAGCAATAGCAGTTTACCGCTAGGGAAAAGTACATGGAGAGAGACCTCTGTGGCAAAAGCATACAGGATGGCTAAAAGTGGAAGGTGGAGCAGGAACACAGACAAGCTTTCCCGACTCCACTCTAAGCACAAGGTAACAGCAGCTAAAAAATAAAAGAACTTGAAGCCTATGGTGCAGTGAAGATAAAAACCAAACCCAGCTAAACCAACTAGTTTAACTCAACCCTCCTGCAATACTGAAATAAAATTTTTTTCTTTTACTTTCTGACTTAATGTGTCATACTTTCTGACTTATAATGCTGTTATATTTACTATATCAATGTAACAACAATTCTGCATTACTGAGGTAAGTGAAAATTATCTAAGACATGAAAGTGATTTTATCAATTTATTTGTCACAATTTAATTTTATTGGATGACTTGCTTACATCAGCTCATTTTCTATAGAGAACAATATATATACATATATGCACTTTATAATACAAATACGATAAACATTAACATTTCATTTTTATGAACTTATAGAGTACCTAAAAATAGAAATAGAAAATTCTGTAGTTAATACAAATTCTGTAGAAAAGCCACTCTGCATCATGTTTTTCAGGAATATCCATATCCATTTAGGTCAATTTCAAATTATGGCAAAAGAGAATCCAAATGCATGATTCCTAGGCTGAATTTTTTTTATTGCAGAAAATTATATATTCCATGGCTAAAAATTCCAACCCATTTCCATATGCTCTCAGAAATATTTTCCTTTTTCCAAACACCACCAATGAGAGGCATAAGATAATGCATTATTAGTTATCTGGCAGATTCCCTAGTGGTGAAGTAAATATGATTTCATCACAGTAAAAATTGTGCTAATAAGATTCAAGAGGTAAAGTTGCTTAAAAGTTCAAGAAGGAACTCATGATGTCCAATGATAAAAAAGAGAGAAAATCCAATTTGGTTGTTGAAAAACTACATTAGAATTCATTTCTGCCCCATGAGACTATTGAAATTGGTAAGCCTGCTACTTTGAAGACAATGGTATGCAATAAAACAAGTATATTATTATTTTTGTTATGAAAGACCATGCTACTAATATTTCTATCATAAGTGCTTAAGAGTGGCTGGGGAGATCAGTGCAAACCAATATTTACCGTTGTGATCATAGAAGACTGATTCATGGCTGCATCTGCTATTTGAAGCTGAATTTGCTATTTTGCCAGGTACAATCCCAAAACAGCTTTTTCCATTATTCAGAATGGTCTTAGAACACCTCTCTTGCAAAGGAATTCCCTGAAGGTTATAAGTAAAAACAGTCAGTAGCACAACTGTAATGCATCCCCTGTAGAGTCGACTGATTCCTTTCCATGAAACATGTTTATATTCCCAAATTTTCCACTGATGAAAAATTCTTCATGGTTCATAATTTTTTAGTTTGTTATAAACTTGAGGGTTAAGCTCCACCTGGTAAATTTGTTCAGACTGAAGACACTGGACAGGCTCCTGCACGTTCTTTCTTGACAGTCCAGAAGTTTCAGCAGCTTTTGTCTCCAGGTTGAAAGTCTCTCTCGTCACTGGAAAATCTGGGTGCCATTTCCCCATCCTATGCATACCAGCATGACTTTCTTTGCCTGTTGTTTTTTGGGGAACATTCATGCTGGCCATTTTTGATACTATGTTTCCTGGTACTTGTATTTCTAAGTTAGAAAGGCATATAGGCTGATGACTTTCTGTGTCATGTTTGTGTGTGAACCACATAGGCAGCTCTACATAGGCAGCTCTTCGGGACTGTGCTTGAACTCAGTGGATCCTTGAACCCATGGCTCTTCCCCTTGCTCTAGACAAGAGATCACTTTAGGTTTGTGGAGCACAAATACAGCTAGAGAGATTGACAGTCTCATAGTTTTCCTGCATCACTTCAGTAGAGGATCTTCTGCTTGGGATCTAGTAACTTCCATTCTTCCTGGAAAAATACATGGCTACTTCTTCAAATGCCAACAAGCTCTGGGACTCTGGCAAGACGAGCTCAGGTGCCACTGTCCAGTCTTTGGTGGTGATCTGTTCAGGAAAGACTAGATCTACCGAGCCGGCATAGCTCTCTCACACACAGGCTGTCTGTTAATGAGTATTTCTGCTCAGCTGTTGTAGAACCTGGTATGTATTCCAAAATTCTTCATCCTGGGAGCTGCCCACTGGATGGGACACTGCTGGCTTCAGTTTGAAGCCTGGGGCCTCTGCTGTTTCTTCCAAGAGCACTGACTCCTTTCCCAGCTCATGGACTGCAACAGTCATCATTCTGCCTTGGAACAGTTTGCTCCTGTGTTGGACAGCTCTGAGAAGCCCGTAACCAGGACAGTTGCTCATTCCACACTTAAAGCCCTCCTAACACCCAACCTGTCATCCATTCTTCTCATCCCAAAGCTTATCCAGAAGGCAAGGAGATACCACAGACACAGTAAGTCCCCAAATCTAAATCTCTTCCATCCTCAAAGTTAGACTATATACGGAGACCTGTGGAAACCAGGAGCCTGAAGGTAGGCAAGATAATACATATCAAGGGTTGCTGTACATTACATGTTTTAAGGAATACAAGAGGATGAAACCAGTCATCGGGCCTGGTCTGAGTTTTTCTAAAACCAGCCCAGTCTCTCCCTGGGTGTAGTGCCTAATCAGGAGTGCCAATATTCTCAGGAGAAAAGTCAGAACAAGTCCTAATTCCTGTAGGTAGCCTTCTGACATGTTTCTAGAAGTCAACTGGTATGAAGGATGACTAACCAACTGTGACATGGAGACAAAAGGTCTGAAATCTACCCCATGTCATACTGGCTTCCTAGGGACACCAGAACAGAGGCCCCCAAATTCCCTGAGCAGCAATCCTTCTGTCCTCAGCAGGATTCTGCTGGCAGGCCCTAGTCAAGAAATGGGAACCAAAAAATTTCTGCATCTCCAGAGGAAACACCCATGACTCACTAGGAGGGCTAGGGATATCAGAGGAATGATCTTTTCTTGGGCTTTGAGTATGGGGTGTTTGGTACACTCTGGGTTCTTCTGGGATTTTTGCTGATGTAGAGAAATATAACTGATAAGGACTCAGAGCTCTGTGGGGGCAAATATATAGATATTTTCATACAAAACCCAAATCTTGTAATTTAGACTTTTCTTCACCCTTAGAGAACCCCGATTGAGGATTTTTAAATGACTATTAAATACAACTTTGAGAGACCAGCTGCATGAGAGTTCTGCACATCATCACAGAGCAGGTTCAGCTGTTGAAGTCAGCTGGGTGCCTCAGCCCTCAACAGCTGCAGTTCATATTCAGCAACATTCCCTTGCTTACTGACCTCAGCTAGAAGCTTTTGGAGAGCCAGCAGAACTTCCAAGCTCTAACTCATGTCGGGTTTGGAAGGGCTGCCCTGTACATTCCAAGTTTTAAGGAGTATAAGAGGATGAAACGAGTCATCAGGCCTGGACTGTTTTCTAAAATTGCAGTTCCCTGCACACAATGTACCCCTTCTCTGATTGTTTTCTCCCCTAAGCATTTTGCCATCAACCATATTATTTATTTTCTCTCCTCACTAAATTATTATTCCAAAAAGGCAAGCATTTTTGCCTCTTGATCTCAGCTATATCTCCAGGTCAAAGAACAGTATACAGTAATTGCAGGGGACTGCAATTTTAGATGGGTAGCTAGCAAAGGCCTTACTGAGCTTATGTGAACTTCCAAGCGTTATGTAAGCATTAAGGTGAGGGTACACAGTGGGCTAGCGAGCTGAGTGCCTGGCACACACTAAGACTCAATAAATTCAAACTAATACTCTTACTGTCAAGAGAGGGCCTGATCACGGGAGCTAGTTGCTTTTACCGCCTTTCCTTAGGGGCTTAAAGAGAGGATGCATGATTTCGGTGACTTTTACTGGAGCTCCTCACTGACTCCCATTCCAAGACACGAACTTTCAAATCCCACCCATTGCTTAAAGCCCAAATGAAGCGCCACTTCCTAAGAGGCACTTTCCTAGTATTCACTATTCTCTCTCTCTCACTTATGTCCTTAGAGGCTTCTTTGATCTAGCCCAAGTTCCATTACTAAGTCGCTATTTGTCTTTGGGCAAGTCACCTTAATCTGGTTCTTATTTTTCATCAGTAAAATTAAACGGTTATATTAGATTTACCTTCTGGCTCTAATATTTTATGACTCTAAGAGCAAGCCCCAAATCCCCACTCTTCTCACTGCTCATTCAACAATCCTAACGGCAGCTGGTGCCCGCTGTACAGGGGTCTCCGCAAAAGCCCAAGCCATAATCGGGGTCAGTCACGCCCAACGATACCGAGGAACTGCAGGTATCCGACCCGGCCCACCTTACGACAACACCTAACCTTTCCCAGAACGCCCGCCCTTCCAGCATTTCCGGCTCTTCCCCCGATCTTCTTCCGGAACACTAGCTCGGGTCTGACTCCGCCCCTCCTGCACTCTTCAGAGTCCATTGGCTGTTTCTTTGAGGAAGCGGAGCATTTCCTGGCGTTGATTGGTTTCCGTCACTCTTGAGGGAGTTAGTTACAAACAAGGCGTGTCTGGTCTCCCTGGTAACGCTTTGCCGATAGCCCTGATTGGTCCATGTCCTAATCCCATCTTCCGTCCCGACCGCGAATGGTTGAGTCCCTTGGCGGGGCGCGCCAGTGGTAGGTGTCGCGTTCGGGATTCCTGAGCTGACGTGGCTTAAATTTGGGAGGAGGGGGGCAACTGGAGCCTCTTCCCGTAGCCTCTTCCAGGTGAGTCGGGGACGGTCTCCAACTCCTCCCCTCCTTGAGTCTTTTAATGATCACCCCCACCACAGGGCCCGAGGAGCTGCCGAAGCAGCCACACTCTAGTCCTTTCCCCGTCCCGCCTCTCCCTGATTCAGTCCCGGCTCCGACCCTTCACCGGTCTCCCTTCATTTACCAGGCCTAGTTCTAGTAGTCCACGTATCTGCTGGCTCCGCCGAAGGGCTCCGGAGTCACCCTGCGCGGCCTCGGGGCATATATGTGCGGTCTGCCTCCTCCAAAGGACGTTTCTCCTCCGGGAGCGACTGAGAAAAACGCTGGGGTCAGCCCTGCCCGCAAGGCCATGTTCCCTGAGCGGCCTGCTTCGGCCGACCTGGGTACGCAGCAGCTGACCTCGGAAAGAACTTGCTGGGCCCCTGCACTTCGTGCCTAAACAAACTTAGTGTCCGGAAGGGGAGGCGGGACCCAAACAAATCAAAGGTCTTGAGGGCGGAGATCAAAGAAACATTGGCGATATTAACGTAAACTGGGGCCTGTCGACAGATCCTGCTAAGGACTTGCTGGGATGATTCGGAGAGAGGGATGATTCTTGCGATCCCATCGACGTTAAAATTCCAGGAATCAGAGGTGGGCAGGCTGTTGGAAAAGGACTCTTGAAGAGAATTCTGGAGGGAAAAGAACTTGATTTGGTCGTATGAAGGATGTTTATTCTGCATAACACGAGTGGTGTGTTGGAGTGTGAAGGGGAGGGTGAACCCCTTGACAAAAGGAATATATTTGTCTGACTTTAGTAAAGAGCTCCAGTGGGTCTGTGGGGAGAGGGCAATTTAAGAGTGGGACAGAAGTACTTTCATTTTTAGAAATAGTTGGAAGCTTTCTGAGCTTTTATAGAATCTTACAGTTGTCTGCAAGATTCTCTCCCCACAGAGAGCCTGGATGCCTTTCCTGAAGCATGAAGTAATTATATTTGGATGGTCAAATGATTATGAATGGTCAAAACCAGGAAATTATGTTTTGGGAAATGGCAGGATCTTTTGGTAAATTGGAAATTGGTCATAGAATAGATACAGGAAAAAGTTGAAGAGAACTCAAAAATTGCTGGCATTGTATACTGTTTCACAACCTTTATTTTTCACCCCTTGACTATATGGAATGACCATTAAGTACTTTCCTCTGTACTGCATTAAATTTGACTACATCATTAGTTTCCAAACATTTTTAATTGCACTCCCTATCAGTAAAACATTTTGAGGAAGCATCCTCCAAATACTGTATATTTAATTGTGGATAATGTGTAAATGGTACTGTAAATATGTTAATTAAATTATAAAATATGCAAAAGCATATTTTAAAAAGGATTAAAAAAAAAAAAAGAACTTGCCACATTCTGGGAAGCTCCCAACCCAATTAGGAGTCCATATAAAAGTGTTCCTTTACTTTTCAAGAAGGCTGCTTGCATCTCTAAGGACTTCCAGACTGAGGGGACCTTTTAAAAAATTGTTTTGAGGACCTCCATTCTGGGATGCACCCTCTCCTAAATCATCTGTAGAAGAGAATTCTTTTTTCTTTCTGCTTGACTCTTAAAGATCCCCTTCTTTTTTTCCCCTTTGCATTAATGGATTATTTAAAGTGATGTTGGTTTTACTCTTGTTTGTAAATGAATCATAAACTTCTCTAGGTTAACTACTGTTAGGGATATATTATTTGGGAAACATCTCACCACTAATGATTTATTTACATACCAGTCTATTGTTAGGAACCACTATATAAAGTGAAGCTTAGGCTCTATAATACTCTAAATTTAATTAAGCTACTTTAAAATCAGCAGTATGTGCTTTTGGTAAAATGACATTTAATACAGATATAATATAAAACAAAAATCTCTATCTACTGACCCTTTTCCCCATTCCCCACATTCCAGAAGTAAGCACTATAAATAATGTCTTGGTTTTTTTTTTCTTAAACTTTTTCTATATGCTAAACACTATGGGAAAGATAATTTTTTTTAAATTTTTTAATTTTTCAATTACAGTTGACATACAATGTTAGTTTCGGGTGTACAACATAGTGATTAGACATTTATATATCTTACAAAGTGATCACCCAGATAAATCTAGTACCCATCTGGCACCATACATAGTTACTACAATATTATTGACTATATTCCCTATGCTATACTTTACATCTCCATGACTACTGTGTAACTACCAATTTGTACTTCTTAATCCCTTCCCCTTTTTCACCCATCTCCCCAACCCCCCTCCCAGCTAGCAACCATCAAAATATTCTCTATATCTATGTGTCTGTTTCTGTTTTGTTTGTTCGTTTATTTTTTTGTTCTTTAGATTCCACATGTAAGTGAAATCATATGGCATTTATCTTTCTCTGACTTACCCTAAATACATTATTAAGTGGCAAGAGAAAGGTATAGAATAGCATGTGCTTTGTGATTCCACTTATGAAAGAGGACAAACATGCTGTGCTATACCTTTCTTTTGCCACTTAATACTATATTTTTCTATATCCATAAGTATAAAACTACCTCATTTTTTTAAAAAGGCTATGCAGCATTCCCTTATAGAAATATCAGAATGTACTTAGCCTGTCGTCCCCTCTTGGTGGACATTTAGATCACTTCCAGTTGGCCATCACAAACACTGCTACAGTGAACATGCGTGTACACATATCCTTGTGCCCTGTGTGAGCCTGTCTGTGGTATAGACAATATGGAATTCTTTGGGGCCAGACTATTCTGAATCATTTCATTTTAGTTCGTATAGTCTGCAAAAAAAAAATGCTTACTGAGCTATAAATATATATTAGTATATGAGTGCTCTCATGCCCCCAGCCCTGTTTTCAGCCTCAATGACAAATGTTGGGCGATGAGGTTACTCAGAACATACATTATCTTTTGTGTACCTCCACCAGCCAAGAAGCTTTGTTTGTGACTGGGAAAATTACTTAACCTCAGTATGCCTTAGTTTACTCACCTTAAAACGGGATATTGATAGTACCTCCTCCTTCAGATTGTTTTAATAATAAGAAGAGTGAAATAATGAGGGTAAATAAGTTATATGTAAAGCAATTGGAACAATACTTATTGCATAGTACTGTGTATATAAATTATAGCTACCATTTTCTTCTGCATTTAATGAAAATAGTAGTTTTTTTGTGTCATGAAAAATGGTGTTCATTTTTTAATTGTAAATTTATATCATAACATTGCATATGCTTTTTCCAGCTATATAGCACCACTTCCTATCCTCTCCTCAAACTGGTTTTGAATCACTTTGAGAATTAAGGAATTAAGAAAAACTACTGAGGCTCTACCAAATATGCATAAATAAGTTTGAGGAGGGACCTGGGAATCTCACCAATTTTTGTGTTATTTCTTTGGGAAATGTAATTTAAATTCCAGAGTAAACGGATGTCCACACAGGCACGCGCTCACTATCTTTAGTTACTTGGTTTTCCTATACATTTTGTACTAAGCTCTCTGTCGTTAGGGACATGCCTTATATTTCTTTTTATATTTTTGTGGCTCCTGGCATTATGCCCTACACCAAGTAGTTATTTTGAAAATAATTATTTATAGCAGTGAAGACTTTAAGAAAATAAGACTTCCTGAATTTTAAGTACCACCTCAGCATTCAAGTGTCAAGATCCTGTGCAGGGTTTGTGGAAGGCAGGGCCAGCGTTGACTTTGAGGGATTGTTTTATTTGCTAAGTGTTTTATTGAAGTCTGGCCTTAGCAGATAGCTCTTTATTTTTTTATTTTCCCAGTTGCTACTCATCATTCTGGTGCTTTATAAAACAACAGCAAGAGCATTGTTTGTCCAACAATGACACATACTCCATACATGAATTTATTACAATAAACAAATATTTTCCCGTTTCCTAATTTTTATATATGCATCTGCACTTTTCTGTCCTACAGTGAGCCTAAAAGGGGTAGATCCACCTTTCTTCATTTAGCTTTAGCAAGGCTACTTAGTGGCTCTTTTGCCCTCAAATTCCCAACCTTTGAGCAACCTAAAGCAATTAACTGCATGAGATGCCCTTTCCATTTCCATATTATTCCTTTCATATCAATAGCTATAGAAATTCCTCTTGAATCATGGAGTCATAACACTGGGGATTATAATGCTCTTTGTCTGTCTTCATTTTAAGATGAGGAAACTGTAAAGTGACTTACCCAGTATAATACAACCTCTTTGTGTTGGAGGCAGAGCTAAAAGTTCAGTTCCTGGCTGCCAATTTGGTGCTCTTTCCATTATGCCATCTACTTTCTCGTGGTCCTCTGATATTGTTGAATCAGTCTGTGAGAAACTCCTTTTACTTTGGCTTGAAATGGTACATCCCTGATACTGATATTTTCTTTCTTCAAATATACGTATTTTTAAATGGTTATGTAAAAAAAGTAACCTATTTTCTCTTTAAAGAGCTTTGTATCTTATTCAATAATGCTTAGTTAGCTGAGGGACTTTGAAATGTCTTAACTTCTCTGAGTGTCAGTTTTCCTCATCTATAAAATGGGATGATGAAAATACCTACCTTGCAGATTTTGTAAGGATTAGAGAGAAATATATAGAAAGTGATACATATTGCTCAATAATTGTTACCATTAATAGTATC